TTAATGATTTCATGTTTTTTATTAATAATGTAAAGCTATTCAAATACCCTGTAGTTAGTTAATAAAATCCGTAAAAACTAGTATTATTTCATTGTGAAGTGTTCGCGTAAATATAAGAAATCATTAGTTATTGAGTTGCAAAGAAGTTGTCCCTATAATGGGAGAGGCCCTTGTCAGTGGACTTCTATGGATACGACAAAGAAGACGAATAAGAGAAAAACAAGTTACAATAAAATGAATTTGTTTTTTATTTCTCATGTTGCTGCAGCGAATTTAAATTTTCCAACACGTACTCAATAAATTTTGTTCACCTCAGATTTTGTTACTTGGAAGTGTCGAGTGAAATTTTACTCCGAGAGCACACAAAGCAAGCCTGAAATGCACTCTAAATTGCGTAAGATTTCCATCTAAGAAATTGAATATAATATCGTTTTCACCAGTCGTCGTATTGCTTGCAATAGATTGATAAATTTTTCATATTTTTTAATATAAGGTCCCTTAGTTACATTATTAATTTTTTTATAAATAATTTATATGTAGATATTTTAATGATTTCTTATATTTACGCGAACACTGTACATTGATTAAAACTACTTTTATGGATTTTATCGCGTTTTATTTATTTAATTTTTAATACCCGACGTTTCGGGTGCTTTCCAGCAACCATGGTCACGGGGGACTGAGGTTACTAACGTCCCGATGTCAAAGTTAACCCGGAGTTTTTTTTTCAGCTTTTTTAATTATTGTCTTTGGTCCGATCTACGCAGAATGAAATAACAGTGTTTTGAACTCTTGCAGTGGTATGCTTGGGTTTAGTTTTAATTTTATTAATTATAGGATCCCAAACAGGTGGTAGTACCCAACCTCCTTCTCTATTGAAATTAGGATGTTTTTTAATTTCAACAGCCTCACGTATCATCCTTGGTAGGAATCGATGTTCCTTCGCGAGGATTTGTGGTCTATCAAACATGATGGTTAGGGCCATATAGGATATGATCGCAAACAACAGACTTCCCGGAACGTTGATGCTTCACGTCAGCTATGTGTTCTTTTACGCGGGTTCTAATTGATCTCTTTGTTTGCTCTCATATATAGGGAAAATTATTTTTATGCCTGGTGTAGAATCATTTTACAATGCGGATGATTCAGTTCTTTCTTTTAATTATTTTAATGATAGCATGTATAATCTACATGATCTACTGTAAGGGGTGTGGATACATATCTCCCATTATCTTAACACAACACATAAATCTGGAGGCGTGGAGCAAAAGTCTTGTTCTTCAAGAATGGCTACAGCATTCTTTTGAAGAACTACATACCGATTTCCCTTGAGACGCATCTACGTGCTGTTCGAGAGTTTTTGAGACACGATGACTTCCAGCCTCCCGAGCAAGCCTGTTTCAGAAAAGGCTTTAGCATCATAGACCACATATATTTTTTTATAGAAGAGTGGGCAAACGAGCATGCGGCTCACCTGATGTTAAGTGACTACCGCCGCCCATGATCAACAGATATTCCACAGAGAGGTTGTACGCGGAAGAAAGCTTATTTTGAAACTTATATTGGTGAACCACCAAGTATCCAGATGGTGTGGATGGTATCGGGACGTTTGCCGCGCAGTGCGTTCACGAAATTTGGCGGCAATTTGGATGTAAAAAGCATCACCAGCGCTGTCATCTGCATAGCAATGATATGCAGAAGAAACAGCGTTGGTGATAGCACGCAGCCTTGTGGAACACCAGCATTAATATGCTTGTAATCGGAGCTTGCACCGTCTACAACGACCTGGATGATCCGATCTGCAAGAAAACTGTTGATTCAATCGCACAATTTCTCGTGAAGCCCATAGGAAGGGAGCTTCGAAATAAGCGCTTTGTGCCAAACCCGATCGAAGGCCTTCGCAATGTCCAAACTAACGGCCAGTGCCTCCCCCTTGGACTCTACTGGCCATCTTTGCAGTCTCGAGATGGTAGTGGACGGCGTTTAGGCTGGAGTGAAGTCCCCTGTTATTGCAGAAATTCACGGACAGCGTGGCAGGGGTAGCCTTTGTCTTGTTGCTCTGTTTGCCCCGAGCAGTTGTAGTCTTGAGCGGAATTTTGCCCCTCCCCCTCCAGAATACGAGGGGCAGAATGAGCACCCACGCTCATAAGTGGAGAAACATGGTCGTGGATGCTCAGCGAGGGATTGTCCAGGGTTGCTGGTACCCTCTTGTGGTAGTCTATCATCATTTAATTCCGCTACCATGTTGATAGGGGGGGGAATTTGAGCCTCCGGCCACCTGCATTCACTAGACGAAACGCGGAAGCAGAGCTTTCACTTTACACCGGTATTTTGTGAGGTGGAGGTATCACCCCGGTTTGAGCCGGCACATACGTCCAACAGCAAAGCTGTCGCGTCGCTCTACCACTGTTAAACTAAAAAATATGTTCTTCTGCAAATTGTACAGAAGACTGAAGAATACAATCTGCCACTATGTCTCTAGACTATGAGAAAGCCTTTGATTCCGTCGAAAATTGGACGGTAACCATATGTCTCACCTATTTAAGTATATTTTTTTTATAAATAAAGGGTGCCAAACTAGCACAGGGATGGTAAGTGGATTCTGTAACCCATAGACATCGACATTAATCTTCGATTAGGATTCAAAACGCAGATGCGTTGTCACCCCTGCGGACTATGCTGGAATGCCTAGTTTCCAGCAAAAAAGTATCTTCGGATCTCTACACGCACCAATTAAAACACACCAGTATTAAGCTGCTACGTTACGTTGGTATTCTGTGAAAGCGTGGTCCTTCCCAAGTCGAGCCAACCCATCCTTGCTACAACCATAATATAGCTGCAGCGTGGCTCTACCACATCTAGTCGTTAGGAACACTAAACTCGAAGTTTGCGACTATTATGTTTACCTGAGACAAATAGTCCAACTAGGTTAGTCCAACTTCGACTAACCTAGTTGGACTATTCAGACAGAAGGGCAGCTTTCAGGAAATTATGACACGCCTTCTCGTCAAAAATACCTCAAAACCTGCAAACAAAATTGTACCTATGGATCTGAGACGTTGTCCTTCACTATTATGACCATATGAGGATGCTCAAAGTCGTTTAGCGGGCTATGGAGATGGCTATACTCGGGGTTTCTTTGTGAGATAAACTTAGAAATTAGGATATCCGCTGTTTAATAATGGAGTCGGTCAATCTTTCCTTTGTACCTTTAGGAGTACCTACTCATTACAATGTTGATAGCGATGACTCCTTAACTGATCTTATTTTTGCTGCTTCTTCTTAGCATGTTGTGTCATAAGAAGAGTTGCCTGCTTTGAGTTTTTACTGTCACCATTCAAACTCCCAAAGCGATCTTGTCTCATGGTGCCTATACGCTATTTTCCTCAATTTGACAATGACAAGACGATGAGTGTCGCTCGAAATCTCAATTAAACCATTTGATAGCAGTATCTAAAATTGACGGTAAAGACTCTTGTAGTGTTATGCTACTTACATATAATTTTACACTATTTTAAATTTATTTTTCCATTCTGTTTTTGATTTTCTGCATTCACCTCAAAACTGGATATTTTGCATCACCTTTATTTCCGTAGGATACTGTAACGTTTTTAAACCATAAAAACACAATAAAAAATCATTTTCACTTCGTATTTTCACGCTATCAGCACTTTTTAAATCGGTGTCAATGGAGTCTACCTTTTTCGATCTTTTATTTAGTTCTCCGTAACTCTGCAATTTCGGGCTTCGTGCGCGCTGTTGCGCCACCTTTTTTCCTATATCAATAATATCTCATTTTTCACTTAAATCTTGCCGTTTCTCTATTACAAGCCTGAAACCAAAATTTTACATGTTTTGACATCGTTGTTTATCTGGTTGTCATGGCAATTTTTATTCGAAATTCGTTACCGGTCTGATATTTTTACTCCATACTTTCACATAAATACTCTTTTCCTCTTGGCCATTTACAAAAATTTGCTTTTAATTTAAATAATTTCAAATTTAATTTAAATAATTTCCCGTTCTTATCCCAGATCCGTCAAAAAAGCATAAAAGCCGAACAATCGGCCAATAAAAAAAGTCTCGCTTAAGCTTTCATACTAGAAGCATCTCCTAAAGGACTTATCCGCACTGCCCCGGGATCCTGCAAGCCTCTGCCTTCACCTGAAGTCGTCGCCTACTCCGGGCGCTGTGTTTGCCTACTTCAAGCGCTGCGTGTACCTGCTCCAGACGCTGCGTGTACCTACTCCAGACGCTGCGTGTGCCTACTCCGGGCGCTCTGTGTACCTAGTCCGGGCACTGTGTGTGCCTACTTCAAGCGCTACGTGTGCCTACTCCAGACGCTGCGTGTGCCTAGATCAGGCGCTGCGCACCTACCACAGGCATAGCCTGTGCATACTCCGTGATGCTTCTAGTTTGAAACCCCATCATCATTTTCATATATTTTTATCTTTTTAAAATTTTAAATAAATTATTTGTTTTTTTTTTGTTGTTTCGTTGTTGTTAGGTTAGGTTCTTTTAGTTTTTAACTGTCGCTTTACGACACTCTATATATCTTTTTTGATGTTCATGCCCCAGTCCATATTGCTAGGTTGAGACATATCACCGTCTTCTTGAGGACAGAAGACATAAGGGTGGCAATTCTTAGACAGAATTGAAGCTTTCTTAAATTCAAAATAAAAGAATCTGAAGAAAACTGGTCCTTCTTTAAATCAGTCAGAAATACGTTTAATCACATGATACGTGCTGCTAAACGTCAATATTTTCATAACTTGACTTGTCTCTTATCGAAGTGTGGAAAACGCTGGACTGTGATCCTCTATATCTCTCGATGAGATAGATCAACGTTTAATTTCCTTCAAAGCAAGGGATATTTTAGTCCGAACTGACACCTTAATATAATAATAATAATAATAATCTCTATTAATATAAATCGACCGCAACTTCCCCGCATACCCCTTAGCAAGCGAAATCGGGATGTCGTGTGGGCTCTTAACCCAATGCCGGTGGCCTATTCAGTGGTAACCTATTTAGAAGCCAGCCGGGACCTTTGCGAGACTGACTCAATTCTTTTTTGCGCTGCACTGGCAGTATGCCGTATTATTGGCGCCAAACTTCCCATGGCTGGACGTGCTACTCGACAAAGTAGTGCCACCCCAGCCTGGAGAAAAAGAATCGAGGACCGTATCGCAAAGGCAAGGGCCCTTATCGGCAGACTGACAAGCTTCAGGTCGGGTAATAATATTCGAGAGTTGTGCACACCGTTAGAATGGCGTTTGCTAGGACAAATATTATCCCAGCCGGATATCACGCAGAAACTAACGGAGCGCATAGATGACCTGAAGCAAAAAAATCAGTGCTTGGAGGAAGCGGATTCGACGATTTAGCGAGAGGTCAAGGCGATTCAACCAGAATCGTCTCTTTCAGAATGTTCAGAAGAGGCTCTATAAATCATTGGAGCGACCAGAGGTATGTGGAGCGGGCCCAAGGCCGGATCAGGCTGAAACTGTCGCATTTTGACGTAGCCTGTGGTAAGAGCCCGTAAACCACAGCGAGGGCCCTTTGATGGAAGTTGTGGCGAGCCAGAGTGCGAGTGTTACGCCTATAGATCCCGTCACCATAACGCCGGAAGACGTGGCTGAGGCGGTCTGTAGGGCTCCGAACTGGAAAAGTCCGGGACTCGATGGGCTGTATCATTACTGGCTGAAGGGGTTCGTAGTGTGTCATGCTGTGCTCGCCCGACAGTTTCAAGAGACTCTCGATCAGAAGTCGCTTCCGAGTCTCTTCATTACTGGGATCACTCACTTGGTTCCCAAAGATCATGTAGCAGCCAGATTAATCAAACCTAAACGGGAATAAATAAGATATACTCCGCTGCTACCATAACGCGGAAGGCGAGAATAAATAAAAAAAACATTTTATTTCCTAATTATTCTTGGCTACTGAGATACTGCGGACTGTATATAGATAATTTGACGTTCTTATAAAGAAACAAGAAGCAGCCGCAAATATCATTCAGCGCCACACCGACTTCACACGCCGCTATCGTCACGTATCCGTCGACCAATGGTGAGCCGTTTCTTCAACGCCGCAGTTCGTTTCCCCTTGCTGTTCCGGAGCTGTATTCCGCACCGCCGCCGCCCGCCGACTACGCGTGCGCACCGATCTGCATGTCTTATATAGCCCGGTCCAGCGACGTAGCTTCGTGAACAACAAACAAGTCTCACGCCGGGAAACGAAACGTAGATAATTGTATATTTTATTGGTCATAAAATAAGCAATATAATTGGCTAGGCAAAATATTAATTGTTACCATTGGCAAATCAATAGTGAGCCAGCCATATAAATATAGGCAAGGTTGATGCAAAAGATATTCCATTCCGAATCCCATTCGACAGTACATTCATAAACATAAGCAGTAGTTTCATTTCTCCACCTTAAAGAAAACCACTCGGATTCTGTTAATAGTGGACAGATCATCCCCACTACTACAGTGGTGACCCCGTACGAACACCGAGGGGGAAGATCCGGTACGAACACCAAGAAGGAACACCCTGCGACGTACCACTACTATTGCACGAACACCGCGAAGGAAACCCGTACGAACACCAAGAAGGAAGACTTCAGTTTATATAAAATCAGTGTAATCAAGCCGTCATTATGGAGCAGGAGGCAAACACATATACATCAAACCCGGTAAAGGAACCAGAAATCGCCGGTATATCTCTATCGTTAAGAATACCACCGTTTTGGAGAGACAAACCACGACTTTGGTTCGTCAGTTTTGAAGCCGCAACGAATGGTTTAAAGAAGAGCCAAGCGCAATTAGCACAGATGGTGATAGCCCAACTTGAGAAACAAGACATCGAACAAATTGAGGACCTGTTGTACAACCCACCAGCAGTCGACCAGTATAATTCACTGAAGGATCGTCTGATCTCCGCATATGAAGAATCCGACAGTCGACAGCTACAAAAACTTCTATCAGAAATAGAACTTGGAGACCAGAAACCCACACAACTCCTACGCAAAATGCGTACTTTGGCGCGAGATAAAGTTCCGGATTCAACACTACGGCTAATGTGGGTAAACCACCTACCACCACATATTCGATCGGTAATAGCAGTCAGCGAAACATTCAGCACGCAGACGAAGCTCGACGAACTGGCACTCCTGGCGGACAAGATGATCGAAAACAGCAGTAGCTCACACATATCGATCATCGAAGGCACTTCAACAAAGGCCAATGATACCCAGTTTCTTCTCGAAGAAATTCGGAAGCTATCATTCGAAGTCGCCGCGCTCAAAGCTTCCCAGCATCATACCTTTTACCAGCAACAGTACAACCAGCGCAATCAGCAACACCGAAGATCACCTTTTCGTCGCAACCGCTCTGCAAGTAGAAGTCGAATAAGCTCAACATCAAGATCCCCTTACTGCTACTATCATCGACGTTTCGGGGTCGAGGCAAGAAAATGCACAGCACCGTGTACATTCAAAAATGAAAATATGAATACGGAAAACTAACTAGTACGCTCGATGCGACGGGATCCAGCGTAACAGCAAAGTCCTACCGTCTTTTCGTCACCGATAAAAAAAGCAAGCTTACTTTCCTTATCGACACCGGAGCAAATATCTCAGTGTTACCGCCGAAGCAAGGACAGAAGTTGAAGCCACTAGATTTTCAACTCTATGCAGCAAACAATACGGTTATTCCTACATATGGAGAAAAAACAATGGAACTTGATTTTAATCTACGCCGACCATTCAAATGGAGATTTATCGTCGCTAAAGTCAGCAAACCAATCATCGGTGCTGATTTTCTTCAACATCACCAGTTGGTCGTCGACATCAAAAATAGAAGAATCATCGACGGGAAAACCAATCTTGCATCTCAGTCTTTTGTACAAGCAACCAATCTGCCCACAATAAGAAGCATAGATGTGCAACAACCGTATCACAAGATCCTCGAAGAATACCCTGGTATCACAAGAATAACTTCAATGAAATTAACACCGAAGAACGACGTTGAGCATTTCATCGACACCAATGGACCACCACTTCATTGTCGTGCACGTTCAATCGCACCACACCTATACGAGCAAGTTCGAAAGGAATTCGAAAACATGATTGAGCAAGGAATATGCCGTCCAAGCAAAAGCCCTTGGTCATCACCACTTCACATTGTACCGAAGAAGAACGGAGAATTAAGAGTTTGTGAAGATTACAGAAGACTGAATTCTATTACCACTCCTGACCGCTACCCAATACCGCGAGTCAGGGATTTCACTCATCAACTATCAGACAAGACTATATTCTCCACCATCGATCTCAACCGAGCTTACCAACAAATAAGAGAAGACATAGAGAAGACAGCAATAATTACCCCAATGGGATTATTCGAATTCCCAAGAATGATCACAGGATTAAAGAACGGAGGTCAAACTTTCCAAAGATTCATACACGAAGTACTTCATGGACTGGATTTCGTTTTCGCATTTATTGATGATCTCCTTGTTGCAAGCCCTGATAAAGAAACGCACGAAACCCATCTACGCACCGTGCTACAGCGATTAGAAGACAACGGAATCACAATCAACCCTTCGAAATGCATATTTGGACAGCAAGAAGTTCAATTTCTTGGTTTCACCGTCAGCAAGGAAGGAATAAAACCGCCTGCCGAAAAAGTCAGAGCAATCATCGATTATGCAAAACCTAAAACTATCGAAGAACTAAGGCGTTTTCTCGGGATGATAAATTTTTACAGAGAACACATACCTAAAGCCGCTGAAATCCAAGCACCACTTCACGCCTACCTTCACAACACGAAGAAAAAAGATAAAACGTCAATCGAATGGAACGATGAAGCCACGAAGGCATTTGAAGCTTGTAAAATTGCGATCCAAAATGCAGCTTTACTCGCTCACCCATCACACGAAGCAACCCTTGCTATCTTCAGCGACGCATCCGATCTCTCAGCAGGAGCAGTTCTCCAACAATACAGCAATGGGAAATGGCAACCACTTGGATATTTTTCGAAGAAGTTCTCCGATACTCAACGTAACTACAGTACATTCGACCGAGAGCTACTCGCTATTTACATGGCTATCAAGCACTTCAGAAAAACGTTCGAGGGTCGAAACCTGATCGTTTTTACCGACCACAAACCATTAACATATGTACTTCCAAAGAAACCATCACTATCGGAAACACCACGAAGAGCAAGACAACTTATTTTCATAAGTGAATTCACGACCGACATACGTCACATCAGTGGAAAGGACAACATAGTTGCCGACGCACTCAGTCGCGTACCAATCGACAGTGTAACGTGCCCTACATCAATCGACTATCATAAGATCGCCGCAGCACAAGACAGAGATAGTGACAACATAAAACATCTATCGAAGCAAGGTAACTTGTCCATCAAGCAAGTTACAATGCCAATGACGCATCTACCAATATACTGTGAAGCCTCAACGACAACCATGCGACCATACATACTAGAAGAATGTCGTCGCGAAGTCTTCAATGCACTGCACAACATTAGTCATCCAGGTGTTAGAACAACAAGAAAACTCATCACTGAAAAAATTCTTTTGGCCTGCAATGCAAGCGGATGTTGGCAACTGGGCGAAGCAATGCATTCAATGCCAAAAATGCAAAGTACAAAGGCATACATCAAGTAGTCTAGCTACATTTCCACCCACGGAGAGATTCGAACACTTGCACGTTGATATCGTTGGACCATTACCTACTTCACCGCAAGGACATCGTTATCTCGTAACAATGATCGACAGAACAACAAGATGGCCAGAAGCAATACCTACCGATGATACTTCAGCCGAATCCGTCGCGAAGATAATTTATGAAAATTGGATTACTCGTTTCGGATCACCTAAAACCATCACAACGGATCAAGGAAGGAATTTCGAAAGCAACCTATTCCTCAAACTTCTTCAAACTATGGGAATACAGAAGACGCGTACAACAGCATACCATCCTCAGTAAAACGGAATAATCGAACGATGGCATCGTACATTAAAGACTGCACTCAAAACTCGTTTATCTCAACATACAAAGTGGATTGATGAGCTACCTACAGTGCTACTCGGACTACGAGCAACACCGCGTGCAGACACTAGTCTTAGCGCCGCTCAGCTAACCTACGGCTGCAGCATAAGGCTGCCGTGTGACTTCTTCAGTTCAGCAGCGTCAAACAAACAAGAAATGGATTACGATTTCGTAACTAAACTTCGAGAATCAATTAACAAAGCCTTATCGTTGAAATGCACCGAAATGCAATCACACAGAAATAATAAATCAGTATTCATTCACCAAGATTTGAAAACATGCAAACAAGTTTTTGTAAGAAACGACGCAATGA